TATGCCTATATATATATATATATATATCTTTAATGAATTTGTAATTTTACGTTTAGAAAATAGAATATATATATATATCTTTAATGAATTTGTAATTTTACGTTTAGAAAATATAATATAGTTTGTTGCGTTTAAGCCAATTTCAAACATTCAGTAACTCATCATTGACAATTTTAAATAAAGTGTTTACTTTGGGATGGGAAAAAAATACTTGTCATCAGGATATAAAATGACATTAAATAATGTGGAGCTTTTGGGCATATCATTAATGAAAACCAAGAATAGGAGTGGTCCAAGAATCGAACCTTGGGGAACGCCACACGTTCCTGAAACCATATTGGCCTATAAATAAAATATCATTTTTGGTAAAAAAGGGGAAAAAATCTATTGTACATTAAGCGTTCAATTATTTTTGAAAACCAGGGAAGTAGAGAAATTGGTCTATAGTTTTTAAAGTAGTGTGGGTCTTCTTTCTTATAAATAGGGATGACTTTGGCTAGTTTAAGTGAGTCGGGGAAAATACCAGTTTGAAAAGAAATATTACAAATGTTTTGTAGAGGTTAAATTTGTCATTGTAATATTTTTTCTGATCAATACGAAGGATTTAGTGAGACTCTTTCTATGTTTACCATATTTGTCTTTGTTCTTTTGTTTTCCAGATATTAGAATTTTTTTATATAGTTTATGTTTATTATCGATGGATTTAATAAGACCTTTAGATATCCAAAGCGTTTTCTCTTTTCGAATATTGCGTCTACAACGAGAGTTTTTAATGTTATTATCTAAAGTGTACTAATTAATTTAGAAATATCATTAAAAGAATTTATAGATGATTCAGGTAAGCGATACACAACTCCAAGGATTATGTTTTTCGGCTGTGCAATTTTATTTCAACATAAATAGATTCCGAACCATTAGAAGTAATAGATGCAATAGGTTGTAATTGGGAATATTGTAAAAAGAAAAAGGTGTATTATCATTAAAAAAAAGTTTCGGTAAAAACATAGTGCGGAAAATTCATGATGGATAGCAACAATACATACATTAATTTCATTAAAATGTTTGACAAGGCTGCGTGCATTTAGGTGGAAGACACTAAATGAATAATCATGTGAAGAGTATTTTTTGTTGAAAGCGTCAATAAGTTCATAAGTACAAGAATCCGTATTTTCAGATAATAATTGAGCATCGTTATCGTTAATGATCTTTAAAATTGATATCGAAAGGGTTAAAAATTAAAGAATTAAATCTATCAAAATCAACTATATCATCACAAAAATGATAATGAAGATCATGCATGAATTCATCATCACCGATAATATGGTTGAAGGGGAGTACTATAATACTATTAAGACGTTCCATGATAACTTGAGTATAATATATTATTATATAACGTAATCAATAATTCATGTAGCAGTATTATAAACAGAAATGCCTGGTAGATTTACGTAATAACGGAAGTGAAATTGAATAATATAAGGGTAAAAGGGATATGTAAAGACATAATAATAATACAAGATACATAAATCGTTTTGAGTAGATTTTTAAACATCTCAAAGCATACAATCAAAGCGAGACAGAGCAAGCTCTTGAAGAACGCTAAATAGATATGTAAAGTAACTCAAAACTATGCATGTTAAGCAAAATAGGCACGTGTCAAAGAACAGGAATAAATGAAAGTCTTGTAATATGCTTAAAAATCATAGACATTAAAATTATGTAGAAAAGGTCTTTTTGAATGTTCTTAAAGTTCTAATGTTCACAACATTCAGACCAAATGTTCTTCGAAAAATCAAATGGAGTACCAGATGACGTTCGCAATTTTCCAGCTATAAAGCGAAGTTTGGTGCCTTTAGTATACAACTCCTTTCCTTGAATTTTCCATTTCTTTTTTCCAGAAGATAGACAGGGGTGAGATCATCTATGATATAAAATTGTTGACCATCTAGCGCGATACTCCTTTGTTTCACAACTTCAATTTTGGCAGTGAAGGACAGGAAACGAACAATAATATGCCTTGGTCTGCCATTCACACTTTTCCCATCACGGTGAGCCCGTTTGTTTGCTGGGCGGGAGGAGAGTTTGAAAAAGTCGAAAATATTTTCTCAAAATTTAACTACAATTTTCATTTGGGCTCTCTACCACACCGACAATTCTTAGGTTGTTACGCCAGGAAAAACGACTTGTTCATTTTTGCCAACAGATCAATCGTAATTGCTTGTAAATTTGCCACTGTATTTTTCAGGTCAGTAACACACGTTTTTGTTTCATTTTCCTTTTGTTCGAGGGTGTCAATTCTAGCAGAATTAAATGATGGCTTCGTAAAGCTCGGTATATTAGATTCTTGACCTTGGATTCTTTGAGAATAGATTCAAGTTTGTTTTTGACAAACGATTCAAACGAAAGCTGGTCTTCGTTTTCAGTATGACCGGGTATGTGAGTTGGTTTTGCACGTATACCAGGTCGTGACATGGTATACAGCGATTGGCCTTACTCAGACCGAATCATTTGCACGTCTTAGTACTACGTGCCTGATTAATTACGATATCAATTATGAGGGAGAGAATAATGGTGGTGATGATGATTAAGATGATGAAGACTATGATGATGATGATAATGATGATTATAATGATGAAAATGATGATGAAAGACATTATTTTACAGTTCAGTGATTACATATTTTTTTTAGTCCTATAAATAATTTAGATTGATAACATGGTCATGTGTAAAGAAAAGGTAAAGAAAAAATAGAAAGAAAAGAAACTAAAAGAGAAAGAAAACGAAAAAAAAGAAAAGAACACGAAAGGAAAGAAAATAAAAAGAAAGAATAAAAGAAAGAAAAGAAAAGAAAAAAGGGAAAAAATAGAAAGAAAAGAAAGTACAGTGTATAGAAACAGAAAGAAAACGAAAGGAAAAGTAATTGATGACAAATAAAAAGAAAGACAAGGAAAGAAATGAAAAGAAAGCAAAGGAAAGAAAGACAAGAAAGAAAGAAAATGAAAGAAAAGAAATGAAAGGAAATAAAGAAAGGGAAAATAAGAATTAAAGACTGAAATCGTAGAATAAAATTGGTAGAAAATATTGAAAAAAAGTAGCTCAGCCTAATTAGAGGAAAAAGAAAAAGAAATGAATAGTAAGTATATATCTAAGGAATGCACGATGCAGCATTCTCCTTAAATAGTTAAATTAGTTCGCATATTTCAAAATAATGGCTAATTTTTTTCTAAATTAATATGTATTTACAACATAGTATAATATAATATAATATAATATAATATAATATAATATAATATAATATAATATAATATAATATAATATAATATAATATAATATAAGAATATCATTAGATGTAATATGCCAACTAGATTTCATAGTCAATGGCTGCCAATAACTGATACATTTTCGGTGGCTAAACTAAATATTATTATCTCTTTGTCCCTAATGGAATTTCATAACCAAAAAGTGTAAAATCATACTTATATTTGTGATACAAATCAGCTAAATGAGGGAGTGGAATAGATGAAAATGCTTTATTCAATTTTGACTGACTGGAACTATTTGTAAGGTGGGCTCCAGAAGACATTGGTAACCACAAATTAGTAAGATTGGTAAGTGTTAAAATGTATTTTGTATCGTTTTCCATATCCTCAAAGTGACCTATTACGTCATAATGTATATCACATGGATAACAAATCCCATGCATCGGGTTCCAATGGGCATTTGAACCTTTCTGTGAAACTACCAAGTTGACGAAATCTACGAAGTCAATTTCATCTGATTTCCCACTCGAATTTCATTTGAATTTTTTCCTCAAAGCTTGATGATGATGATTATGATTATATGACATTGTAATTAAAGATTTTTATCTCTTTGTACCTAATGGAATTTCATAACCAAAAAGCGTAAAATCATACTTATATTTGTGATACAAATCAGCTAAATGAGGGAGTGGAATAGATGAAAATGCTTTATCTAATTTTGACTGACTGGAACTATTTGTAAGGTGGGCTCCAGAAGATTTTGGTAACCACAAATTAGTAAGATTGGTAAGTGTTAAAATGTATTTTGTCTCGTTTTCCATATCCTCAAAGTGACCTATTACGTCATAATGTATATCACATGGATAACAAATCCCATGCATCGGGTTCCAATGAACATTTGAACCTTCCTGTGAAACTACCAAGTTGACGAAATCTACGAAGTCAATTTCATCTGATTTCGCATTCGAATTCCATCTGAAGTTGTTCCTGATTTTTTTTTCTATAGCTCTCAAAGCCTCTTGCGTAACTTCCGTTCTTACGAATGATTTTATCATTGTAAGCCGACAACAGTCGTGAGAAAGGATGCCTAACAAACATGAATTTTGTGTAGGTGGCCATAATGTGTTTCTGTTTTGCCAAAGAATAACTAGAAAGGTGTGGTACGTGTTTTTATTCCATGCCGCACTCACTTGGGGTGCAGTCATTTTCATTACTTCTTCATAGTTCTTATATCCAGAGATGATCAGCATAATACGACACCAACTGACAGTACCAGTCTTCGGTGTCTGGCAGTACACCATTTTGTGTTTTTCATTCACTAACAGTTTTGGTCGGGACTTCATTTCAGGAATGGCATTTCGGTGAAGACGACACATATTCCGCGTGTAGTCATTCTGTTTTCTGTGAATACTCGAGTATCTTTGCATGAACTCCTCCATAGTCTCCTGTTTTTCAACTTTCTCTGTTGACTATAAGTATTGTAGAAAAACAAGTCAGAAATAATTATAAAATAATAATACTGTAATAACAACAACAATAATAATAATAATAATAATAATAATAATAATAATAATAACAATCACCATAAACCATAATTATCTCATTTATAAATTAAAGAAAATCGGTGTTCGGGTCAATATAATGAATGCTATCACATCTTTGTACTCAAAAAATTGCATGCTCGCGTTAAAATTGGTAATGCGTTAACTCAGCCATTCAAGGGTGAAATCGATATACAGCAACCATTTTAGCAACACTTTTCTGCAAGATTTATTGTAAGTGAAATTCTAAATTTGACGAACAATATTAAAATAAAATCCAGGTCGGTGATTGTTTATTAAATTATTTGGTATACTGTATTTACATGACCTTGTATTGGTGGGGATACTATTAAAGGACTACAGAAGCTAATTGATATACCGTACCTTCTAAATATCGTGATGAATGGAGAATAACTGTAAATGGCGAAAAACTAAGAATATGGTATTTATAAATGGTGGTAAGACAAGAAAAATAGAAAAAATGGTATTACAAAGGAAACTCTATAGAAATTGTTAATTTATTTAAATATCTAGATGTAATATTTAGTGCTAATGGTCTTTGGAAAAATGCAAAGGACACAAATTGCTCACAAGCAAAACATGTATTCTTCTCGATGAAATCCATGACCAATCCAAATCATTTACCTGCCAATGAATGGAATCACATACTCGACTCACCCATTCTCACGCATGGATCAGACATTTGGGGCTTTAAAGAACTTAACATGATTGAACGTGTCCATAACCAGTTTTGTAGATATGTTTTAAGTGTGGCGAATAACGAACCTATCATCTCGATCCTATAGGAAATGGGACGGTTTTCCCTATCTGTTACATGTCTACTTAATATAATTCGATTTTGGTTATACATTATTCACACTGATCAGAGCAGGTACGTAGTGAAATTTTATGATTTGCAGATTAGAATAAAATACCGAAATGAGTTGGGCTATGCAATTTAGAAGCTTACTTTTTTCTATGAGCTTTGGTTATGTGTGGATTGCACAAAACGTGGATGATCAGAGAAGTTTCATTAATTATTTTAAGTTTCGTCTTAAAGATATTGAAAGGCAATGTTATCTTGAGAATGTAAAATCATTTTCTAGACTTAAAATATTATTATGTATTTAAAAGCGATATTTCTTTAGAAAGTTTCCATCTTAATATTGAGAATTTAAAAATGAAAAAAATATGACCAAGTTCTTGACCGTGAGGTTGAAAGGGGAATGTGGGCAAAAACACGAAGAAGCGAACGAATATGTAAACTATATAATTATGATTTAGTAAAAGATGAGTTCCATTTTATTTTACAATGTCCGTTTTATGAAAAACTAAGAAAAAAATATTTACTACCATATTATGTTAACTTTCCTTAAATAGAAGAATTTACTTTATTAATGTCTTGCAAAAATCAAAATGCATATTATAAACTTACCTTGCATACAAAAATAGGAACCATTATTTTACTACTCACACATAGAGGCTGATTATTTTATTACCGGTACTATACCTAGGAACGAACGCACGCCTTTTTGATGACGGTGATGATGATGATGATGATGATAATGTTTATGATAATAATGATGGTTATCATGAAATGAGTTGGTTTGAAGCACTGCAGAGTTGATGGTCAGAAGGGCTAGAATTGTGGTGGTCTAAGGTAAAGAAAACATGGGTGTCGCCAGGGTTTTAGTTCTATTTTTTCTATGATTTGGCGGACGGACGGTCCAATGTCCCCGACCGGGGCGAGAGGTGACTCTCCAACGAGAACGTACGTGGGCGTGGTCGCACGTCGCTTCAAATCTCTCAGAATTTAGGGTTTTAAAGTCTTATGTATTTAAACGTTAGTACAGTACACTCAATATTTTGTGAGTCAATTTGACATTGATTACTTGGCACTAATGACACAGTTCGTTAGAGTCAAATTTAGGTCGTGGAACGCACGTACGTCATCCTAATCACAGCTAAGTGGTAAGAACATCGATATTTCGTGCAGTTTGTACTTGGAATTGTATTACGTAAAACTGAGTTTTGGCCAAGCTGACTCGCACTAAGGTCCTGTGAGCGGTCAATGAACTCTGACTGTGGAATGTCGAATATATATAATATATATAACAACTAAGTCACAATTACCAATATATATATGTAACCCGGTTTCACGGTTCGATAGTACAAATGAAAATAATAATGAAAAACAATAGACAAATATATACAACTATAAGCAAGCCAGCGTCTTTATTGCGTTGTGTTCAATCTCAAATCAAGAACCTAACTGCTCAATTCCTAAAATAATCCCAAAGTCTATCAAACTTGGACTTCCCATTAAAAGTGGCAGTGACCCACCTTGTGAGTTCACCGGAACAGGGAGGGTATGATAAGTTGAGGGTCACATTCCAGCGGATGGCCAGGAAGATAGGTTGGTAGGAACGAACATAAATTACACTATAGGGAGGTCTTTGTGCATCTGTCAAACCGGTTGTCACTAACGTTAATGATGGACATACATTATAGTACAATGGTCAACTGTTGGACTTTATCATGGATAGTTATCGTAAGCTAAACTACTTATATAGGCTACATTCACCCCTTTTTTTTCTGAACGTCGGCCTCGACGTTACAGGTAGGTAACTAAGTATTAGTATAACAAAATTTTAACAGCAAGCTAGAAATCGCCAAGCAGTAAATGAGGAAAGCGCTACATACATGCATCACCTATTAACTAAGAGAAAAATCAAACTTGTTTAAAATTCTAAAAAAAAACGGACAGGAAATCGTCTCAATAACCATTCATTAAGTGTATTTAAAAAAAACTTAATTAAATAACAACCAACTGCGCAAACTTCATAAAACAAACCTTAACGTGCACCATTACACTATGTGTAAGGGTATCAGTTTGAACCAAGTTCCACTGGCTCAGAACCCAAGGGACCCAGTTATTTTTAAAATGTTATTCAGTTAAAACTTAATTATAAAAAAAATGACATTCACAATAGAAATCCAAGTAAATCAGAATTACTTAAAAAATGAGGAAATGTATGATTAACAAAGTATAAATTGAAAAGTCTAATACACAGGTAGCGTAGTACCTAAATACATTTTTAACAACCTCAAATGTAATGTCATTTATAAATCAAATTATTACAAAATACAAAAACATCATACCACCTTTCACCAAGGTATCCGTCATTTAAAAAAAAATGACCTGAAACAATCGATTTAAAAGTTTAAAAAAATTTAACTAATGTTTAAATGTACAATGGAAATATGCCACTATACATTGGCATGTTGCATGTAAGCCACGACAAATGCAAAGAATTACTATCATTAATATAACAAAAAAACCCAATCACAATACAGTGATACGAAGAAATTTGTTAGACATGCAATTTACACATGAATATAAGTAGGCCTACCAAGGCCAAAGTAGAAAAGAGGAAAACCATTAACTAAAACAATTAAGTCACCATACAATTTTGACAGTTTGTGTACCGCTTGAATATCTTTTTAGCTCTGGCTAGCTGCTGCTTGCGTGCTGATTTAGACGCCACGCTTTTAGTACACATCAGGGAATCAGTTTCAATATGCAAAAACATACAAGGGGTAAGCATATTCCTATGCAGCGTTCGCGTTTGGCCATTATATTCAACTGTGTACACTGGGAGGTCGGGGAGTTTAGAGATTATAGTATAAGGGATTTCCTCCCAGCGATCAGCTAATTTTTGTTTGCCAATAATTTCTTTCTTTTGTACAAGAACCTTGTCGCCAATTTCTAGGACAGAATTTGTGGACTTCTTGTCATGATTTTCCTTTTGTTTACATTTTGCTGATTCGCTGGAGGCTTGGGCTGATTTATAGGCACAAATCAATGTTTCTTTCAAATTTTTTATGTATTCAACATAATCATTATCATCCTCGCCATTATGGCTATTTTTATCAATGTTAAAGAGGATGTCGATTGGTAGACGGGGGTGGCGACCAAACATTAGGAAAAAAGGAGTGAAACCAGTACTCGCATGTTTTGTACAATTGTACGAATGGGCCATAGCACCTATGTGCTCTTTCCAATTAGATTTTTGTTCTTGGGATAACGAATTTAACATACTAATTAACGTCCTGTTCCATCTTTCTGTTAACCCGTTACATTGTGGGTTATATGGACTTGTGCGAGATTTGGCAATGCCGGTTAATTTACACAGTTGCTTGATAACTGAGCTTTCAAAGTTTCGGCCCTGGTCCGAATGTAATCTTTTGGGTAGGCCGTAGTGTTGGAAAAAATTGTTAAAAAGGACTTTAGCTGTGGTGATAGCTGTTTGATCTTTAGTCGGGTACGCCTGCTGTCTCTTATACACATCTAGATGTGTATAAGAGACAGATATATATATATATATGGTAAACTATTTTTTGTTCAGCTGTTGATTTTTTTTTAGTTAGATCGTAGTGGATCAAAATACATTTATATTTTATTCCAATGCAATTTTAAGAGCGGGACTCAGGATGGAAATAAAGAAATGCAGGTTTCATTATGAGGCTCATTTCAAATAATTGATTCGTTGTTGTCCAGAATCTAAGTAGATTTTGTGTCGCTGCCCCCCGAGTATCTTCTGTGATGTAGGCCTACCGTATCACTGCAAGTGGTAGTACTCGAAAACGTCAAGTAGAAAAACTAGAAATAAAAAAAACTGTGTGTAAATTGTAAGAAAGTATTGGTTGAGATGTCATAATAGAATAACTGAAATTACTGTACCTGTGATAGTTTTGTTTCGGTTCCAGTACTCATTCCCCTTGATAGCTTTCCAACCAGACTGTAATCTGTTAATATACAACAAGTGTGTTTGTTTACTTATTGCCGCAAAATCATTGGTGCACATATTCTGTATACGCACAACAATTCACATTCGCACACGGAGTCACCGACGAATCAATCTTCGCATTTTTTGAGTGCTTGACAACGCGAAGCCGTCTGATGGTTGGCGATGGCAGAGTTTCGTATTTTCAGTGGTTCCCACAATTTGCACTTTGTAAAGCCTGGTTAAAAACTCATTTACACTAGACATGATTATGACACGACAATGACACGATACAGATGTGCGTAGAGTTGAAGAATAAAAATTACGCGATGATATGTCGTTGTCGTGTCGTAATCGTGTCTAGTAAATGTGGCTTAACGCAAAGACTTTTACGCAACGTATCGACGCCAATTACCGCAACGCGAGGGATTTGCTTCATCCAAATTTGGAACCGACAACTTAAAGTCACAGTCCGTGAAAGCAACTTTCTGTGTCGCATTGCGTCGCTTGACAGTCCTTGCGGCGATTGCGAAAATTCAAACTGTGGTATATTATTTAGCTCATGTGTACTTTAAAGAACCCAGTACATCTTTCGAGACGAGTAGCGGTTACCCCGGTGTACAGGTCCAATCAGCCCCTGCTGCGGACAGACGAGAGTAGCTGGTACCGGTTTACCGCGTAGCTGAGATATGAAGAGACCCGCAGGGCAGAAGAAATTTACTATACGAACTAGTCCACACCTCGAGCGATTTAGAGACTCCGGTATAAAGCGCTATATAAATAAAACTACACTAAATATGATAAAAATACATTGAAATACAATAAAATAGAGTAAAAGAGACCAGTCAAGGTACACTCTTCATATTAAAATACAAACGGTACGTTAAAATAGTAGACCCTAACAACATTCAATTATTAATTTAACATTAATATAATTGTAAGAGTTAAGGTTCATCATTCATAGTTGATAAAATTTTACTTCTTGTTTTCAATGCTCTCTTTGTATAGGAAATTATTATAAGTACTTCACTACATCTGTATGTTCGTGATTCGTGGTATTATGCATAGATGATTACCAAGCAAGACTTGACAGACTTTAGACGATGACAAGTTTGAAGTGCCTGCAGAGACTGACACTCTAGTTCGACATAACATCGTCTGTATAGAATAAACAACCCATTTGTGTTGTACTTATACAGTAATAATAAATAAAGTTCTTAACCGTTCTGAATCAACAGAACAAGTGGCTGTCATTGACTACCACAGTAGTTGACATGCTTCAACAGTGCAAAACAAAAGAAGGACCCTAGAGGGAAAAAATATGTTAGCTGACCTTATATTTCACTTTCACGTTCCTTGTTTTTGTTTTCTATTTTAGTATTAGCTAACCGTCTAATTACTGACTTATCTTCTCTTTTACTTTCATTCTATGCGTCCTTAACTTTCCGTGATTCCTATTTACCTAACTTTTCTTTCTTTAGTCTCCCTTTTCCTTTTAATTACCCTTTCTTTCCTTTCCCCTTTCTTTCTAATGCCTCCCTATGCATTGTTTAGCTTAAATTACCTTTGTAATATTTCCTTATCTTTCTTCCTTTTCTTTGTTTCCTATGTAACCTTGATTTTTCTTGTATTTACTTTATCTCTTTTCTTTAATTTTCATTTCTAATGCTTTTTCATACATATCTCATTTTATTTTATCTTATCGTTCCTATCATATCCTGATTCTTTCTTTCTTGTCCTTTTCTTTCTTTTTACCATTTCTTAGGTTGCTTTGAATAACCTTTCTTTTTCTTTCTTATAATTCGTTCTTTTCATTCCTTTTTCTTTCTTATATTTACTCTTCTTTTCTTTCATTTTCTTTCTTTTGGTTTTAGTTCTTTCTTTACTTTTGTTTCGTTCTATTTTTTCTCACACCTTTCGTTGGTGTTCTTGAATATCCTTTCCTTTTCTTTCTTATGTTTCAGTCTTTTCTTTCCTTTTTCTTTCTTATATTTTCTGTTCTTATCTTTCTTTCTTTATCCTTCCTTTCATATAATTAATTCCTTTCTTATAATTCCTTCTTCTCATTCTTTCCATTTCATTATTATACCTTTTCATAGGTGTCCTTGAGTATCCTTTCATTTTCTTTCTCATGATTCGTTCTTTTCATTCCTTTTTTCCTTATATTTACTTTTCTTTTCTTTCATTTTCTTTCTTCTCGTTTTAGTTCTTTCTTTTATTTTCTTCATTCTTTCTTTCTATTTTTTCTTTTACCCTATCATAGGTGTCCTTGAATATCCTTTCCTTTTCTTTCTTATGTTTCGTTCTTTTCTTTCCTTTTTCTTTCTTATTTCTGTTCTTATCTTTTCTTTTCTTTCTTTATCTTTCTTTCATATAATTATTCCCTTTCTTTTCCTTTCTTAGGACAATTCATGTTTATTTGCCTTTCCTTTCCTTTCTTAAGTTCCTTTCTATTCTTTCCTTTCTTTACTATATTATTTTACTTTTCCTTAACTTGTCCTTTGCTTTTCTTTGCTTCTTTCTTTTCCTATTTTTTTTTCTCTTTTCCGCTTTCCTTACATTTTTCCTTTCTTTCCAGTCATTTCATTTCAATTGCTTTTACTTATCTTTTGGCTTTCTAAGCAGTCAGTCCAAATGTCATGCAGTGAGGGATAAAAAGAAAAGAAAAGAAAATCAATAGACAACATACCTTGTAAACAGTCAGCCAGAGGCTAACAACATCCATTGAAGCTATCTTTGATGAACTGACTTCTTGACACGCCAGAAAACTTAACGGCTTTATCAAGAATAGAGGGTGTTAACCTACCTTTTCTTGTATTCTTAATAACATGAAATGTAAACATTTTACAAGGGTGATTGTTTTCACGCCTGATAATGTGTGAGCACCCCTTTATTTGTTGAGCCGGATAGAAGGTTATCGAGTGTAACTCATTATTGGTCCGAATGAAACTCCATTCGATTTCAGTATTTTCATTGGTAGTGGTTATCGGCCGCAGTGCCGATTTGGCACTGCCGCAGTGCCAAAGAAAGCTGCTGTTTTCTATCGGCACTGCGGCAGTGCCAAAAAGCTGCCGTTTTCTATCGGCACTGCCGCAGTGCCAAAAAGTTGCTAAAAAATTTAATCTGGTTGATAAATAATATATAAAAATAAATAAATAATAATAATAATAATAAAGGTGCTCGAATAATGCTTTAGTGAATAATTAATAATACTTCAACTATGCTTCAATAAGCCTATTTAAGATAGTTTGATTAATGAGATAATTGTTGATTAAGTTATAGAAATATAATAGGTAGGCCTACATACCATTAATAATGATTCAGCATATT